TTGAAGCAAAGCAAAAAAAATTGAGTTGATGCATTTCATCCTATCTTTTAATCTAAACTCAATTTTGTAATTAGAGCTCTAAGGTGTTATCAAATAAATACCTAGTACTATCAGAGTTACGTGATAACAAATTATCACAGCTAAATAAAGATGCCAATAAATGCAGACTATTTTTCCTATTGCCTTTTGAGAGGAAATTTCATTACATGAATCAGAAGCCTTACTGTTTAATAAAATATGGTCTGAAATGTATTCAAATAGGAATGGATTATTAGAAAATCATCAGAAACATGACACTATATCTGAACTGGCATTGAACCATCGGTTGTCTAATGTTGATGCGCTTTACATAAAAATTTCTCCTTACAGGAATGAAAAGTAAATGTCTGCAAGTCTGTTTAAATGTTCAGACCTTTTTAGTAACAGTTTATTTCAGCCTATTTAGAAGGTAGAAGAACACTATTTAACAGTTTAGTCACGATGTGGACTTAATTGCACACAAATTCAATACAAAGTCCTCTTTTGATATTCAACAGATGATTATGTTGAATGCGACATGTCTTAATTGGAGATTTGCAAGCTTCCAATATAAGTGATTCATCATATATTTCTCTACAAGGTACGTCTAAACTGTATATATATTTTTTGTGAACTTCAAACGGTACTGTTTTGGATGTAGAGTTAAAAATAAAATTGACTTGTTTTATTGCATCTCCTATAATTGTGCTGAGAAGTTAGTTATTTTGTGCATAATTAAAGCGGAAAACAACCCATCTATTAAGCTTTTATTGGGAGTAATGCAGAAGGCAATTACCATTACTTTGTTGCTCGCCGTGAAAAGAAAGGTTTCCTGAATTAAAAGGATCCTCCAACTATGGCTCAGGCTAATTGTGTGGGATCTTGAACAGATATCTGGTTGTAAGGGCTAAATGCTGAACAGTTAGGAGGGTCTTTACAAGCCGTGTCCTGAGTGTGTGTTTTTGGGACCGCTCTGCTGCCAGAGAGTCTGATAGCTCCTGAATTATTTATCTATCAGGCTGCTGGACGGTAGTCACGGCGACCCAGGCCCCTTAGTGGTTGTCTGGCGACATCTCCCTTCAACAGCAGCCATTAACAGATGGGGGGTAGGGGTGCTAATGAGCAGGGTGCAGCATGTGTACGGGACCAGAGTTTTCTAACCTTCCAACTCTTTTTTTTTTAACACACAGACCCGCCACGCCGAATAAAGACACAGCATAGATTTGCAAAGATCTGAGTGCAGAACTTTTTAATTAGGTGAGAAAAAAAACGAGGTTAGTAAAAGAAAAAAGATTGGAAAAAGATAGAAACAACCACCCGTTTTCCTATTAAGGAGAAATGTCAAGCGCGGTGGTGAGGCAATAGTCTGTGTGCATCCCTTTGTTGTCCTCCCTGACATTGAAGGCTAATTTTTCATGGTTATTTGAACTGGAAAATGAAAGAGAGGTTTGTGATTATTTCCTATAAATGACAACACAATCGCATTACGCTTCAGTACAAACACAGAGAGGATATTGCCTTTTCATATTTCATGTGAAAGTAATGGATGGTCTATGCAAAGAGGAGCAGAAAGAAAGACAAATGGTGAAAGAAAGCTCCCTATGTTTGATTTGTGTTAGAAACTGAATGGATCGAGGGAGGTAAGCAAGATTTTTTTTTCCCCACCCAATATACTGCTGCACACTCAGGATGTTTTAAACTGCCTGTGCAGTGTAATCATTGAATTTCTTTAGCAATTAGCTCTGAGTAACCCGGTTGGCAGTCTGAAGAAAAGTTTCCCAGTGCAGTCTCTTCAAGAAAACTAGTATCCATGGCAAGGTATTCCCATCTCCATCCATAAATGTATAGGTGTATGATGTAACAAATAGAAATAGGTGTGATAAATTATTAAACGCGCAAACATCAGTCTACCATTCTCCAGTTTTCTTCACTAGTAACGTGAAAGATTTTAAACTTATCAGGCCGCACGACCTTTGAGAGCAAACACGTCAATGCTACCCTACATTTTATATTAGAAATAAAATTGATTAGCGAAATTGATATTCATAACCTTGTTGGATTCTGTTTTATCTTTGCGTACGCTTTCGTAAACAAACAGACGGTCAAGCTCAGGGCTTTAGATGGAAACAGGGAGGCGGGACGACCACAGAGGAGGATGGCAAACCAACACACTCTTGAGGGGAATGTTGAGGAATGTGTTTGCGCGCTCGAAGTTTACAAAGATTGAAGAACTAAAGGGGGGTGGGTGGGGGGGTTCTCTGCCAGCAGGACTCATGTAAATAGGACTCATGTGGGAGCTATGAACCGGACTCCTAGCACGTGCGGCAGTACGGGCTGCATACATCCAAGCATGGCAACATTGATTTTCTGAGCTAATACCTCCACAGAACAGTCCACGGGCAGATGGAAGCACTACAAAGATATGCAAATGGTACATTCAATAAATCGACAGACAGAGATCTTTTTCAGACAGTTCGCTGTGCTGGTCTGCAGTTCCTAAAAGGAGAGATAAACAGATAAGTACCTGTTAATGAACACAGATATACACGAGTGTGCACGCTCAGAAAAACATACAAGGACCTGGTTGTTACCTGAGAAAACTTGGATCAATACGAGGATTTCATGTGAAGCAGAAGGGCTTCAAAAAAAATAAGTGCTAAGACCAATTGGTACTAGTTTTTATTATTGAAAAAGACCATTTTATCGTGTCACTCTGAATTTTTAATTTTTAAGGTTTTCCTCAAGAAAGCTTTTTGCTCTTTATCTTTTGTTTATTTAAAAAAAAACAATCTGTGGGTTTAGTCATATTCAGTGCACTTATTAGTTAGAAATGAAACAAAAGCTGCTGGGTGTGTGTCATATATAATAGATGTGGGCTGTCTTGTTAAGCCCAGCAGGCTGTATGTGGCTGTGTCTCTGTGGAGAACGACTCTGAAGCTCACTATACCTGGTAATTAAAGAGAGTTTGTGGCAAAAGCCAAACATCGGGAGAGATGAGCTATGAACAAAAGAGCTGTGACAGTTTCAGGTTATGGGATTTTTGTGTCCCTTTTTTCACCAAATAAAAAATCAATACATTTTCCGGGTTATACATATTCAGAATGTCCGCCACGCTTCTGCCCTGATGGAGAGAGAGAGAGCGATGGTGGGGGGAGGGGGCTGTGGGCTAGAGTGGTGGGGGGTTTGCCTGTTCTCCTGTCATAACTGTAGCATCACATTTTCCAAGCCACTGGTGAATATTTCAGAGTTGATGTGATTGCCCTTCATGACAGCAGTGATGCTTTTTTTTTTTTTTTTTTTTTTTGCAGCTTCCTCTTTAACTGTCCCCATCCTTTGGTAAACCACTCCAATTCTGTATTTTTAATAGCCACAAATAAGCGAAGGCATTGTAGTTCAAGCTTAAGGAAAAAAAACGAGAAAGATGCATTAATAAAAAGAGGTTGATTTTTAAAAGCAGGCAGGAGTGGAAGACGATAAGCATAATTGCATRGCGAAAGAGGGTGGGAGGGTATAGGCAGAGGGACCCTTTGTGCGGGACAATGTCCCWCAGGCGGAGAAGATGGGAGTACGCTGCCCTGTGATTCCTTTGCCCCTTTTTCAGGCTTTTAGCCTAACGTCCTAGCAGGGAAAGTACAGCCTGCATCTTCCATTGTGGACATAATATGTGTTAGTTAGCAGCTATCATCTTGGGCATTCAACAAACTCAGTGGTGTGTGTGTATGTGTGTGTGWGAGAGATGGGGCAGAAGAGTGAGCAGTCCCTGAATGCTCAGTCCCTGTGTAGCCACATTAACCTAGATCCTCTCTCCTTCATCACCCAAGTAAAACGTAAAGACAAAAGAACTGGAGCAATACTCTCATTGTATTTGTAATGTATCTAAACATGCAATTATTATGAGAAGTATTTCTAATTAGTATAATTTCCCATGAGGTAACACATTAAGGGAAAAGATTTTTTTTACATTTTACAAGCAGCTCAAGGATGATTTACTAAGTATCAAGAGCATAATAATTATAAAGTTTACCACTTGAAATGATTTTTGTCTTTTATGTTCAACTATACCGAAAAACATTAACTTTTAAATGCATAGACGATTAAATTAAGTGTTGCAGAGATGACCTTTGGACTTGTGTGATGAGCAGGCACCACTGAGGGGAGTGGAACAATTTAAAAGAGACTGCTGACATGGTTCTAAGGCAGTATGGTTGTGATTAACTTTAAGATTTTTTTTTAACTTATTAGCTTCCTTACCCCCTGTACCCCTCCTTCATTGCTTCACCTCCTCCTATTTTCCTCTATCCTTGTTCGTCCTGCCCTGAGCCCCATGGAGACACAAAGTATTCATTCACATTTAGATCCTGAGGTCACAGCGGGGCCAGCAGGGAGAGGCCGGCAAGTATCCCGTAGACAGGTCAGGAATCTAACACGTAGCTCTGACCAGCAGCACTGAGGTAGTTTACTCTTCTTCCTTTTCATAATGTGAAAGCTGAAAGTGTGTGAGTGAGAGCAGCAGCGAGGACCTTGTGTTAATAGAGRAAAAATATAGGCTTTCATTTAGTCAGCACAATTTGAGCTCTTGTTTGGTGCATTTTATTCAACTTTAATTTATTTGTATTTTAGATTTMATTTTTCAATTTTCATTCACCTCAAAATAGATGCTTTGCAAACCATTAATTATTTTTCCCCCCAACATAACGTGTCCATTTTTAATTTAGTTTTACTTCAGCTTTAAGTATTATAATGCAGTGGCCATTATTGTTTCCGATAACACTGTGTTGTGGTTTATTGGATGTTCATAAGCAAAAGCCCATTTTGTCTCTGGCTACATTGTGGGCATGTTTTGCTCAGTTGTGGTTTTATGATGAGAGAGCCTGTGAGTGTCTGTGTTGGAAAGGTGGGGTGGCGATAATGAGGGATAGAGGGGTTTTCCTGTATGTTCTGCCTTTAAAGTGTGTGTGTGTGAGGGGGGGGGGGCGGTCCTGCATATGGAGTGCAGAGGTGCTGATATGAGGAGCGGACAATGCATGAAAGCCCTCAGCATGGGTCCTGTGTCTCATTGTCCCATGGTACCCTCCTGTCACTTTCATTTTGCGCCTTCCCGTCCAGAGTCAGGCCAACTTTGATACAAGGAAGGGGGCTGCGAAGGACGATAGAGGGGAGAGAAAGGGGCATGTTTTTAAAGAAGTAGTAGAGGAGGTAGATGGAGTCTGTGAAGTATAAAATAAGTCTGTTTTTTTTTTATTTTATTTTAATCGAAAAGCACAGCTCTAAAGAAAAGGAAGCCGTCCACCCTGGGATAAAGCAGGGCACACCTTCGTGATGCACCGTGCAGTCCTGTGACACCTGGTTAAAAATGACAACAGCCTCGATAAAGCTAATGAGAGTAATGAGAGCTTAGACACAGAGCTGCGCACAAAAGCTCAACCTTTTTTTTTCCTGATATTCAAGAGCCAAAAGAGGGAGAAACTCGACTCAACCCCCACAATGGTTCTCGAGGACACACTAAACTAGACAACAGGGTTGTTGACTGAGAACCGAATACGTAACAAAAAAAAAAAAAACAGCAAACTATTTGAGACCCATTTTCAGGTAAGACTGCTATTCTGAGCTTTAAAAAGCAGTTACCATCATAGCAGTATATTCAGCTGGGGCCGCGGACGGAGGAGGAGCCTGACCCACTGAAAGATATCCAGAGTGACTATTATTACTTGCTGCTGCTCTTCTCTACAGTCTGAGAAGGAATACTGGAAAGTGCAGTGGTTACCATCAATTATTTATCAGGCCGTTTGTGCTTGTCAGTCTGATTAGCATTAGTGTAATCACTGCTCTTCGGGGGAGAAGAAAGACCGCTCTCTCTCATCTGAAGGTAATCTTTCCATTTTTCGGTGTCTCATCTTCACTGGACAGCTTTTGCTTAGCATCTGCTTTTGTCATCTCCACATATTTCTTCCCTTTTTTTTCCAACCCCCCCCTTCCCCGTGTGTTTCTGTCTGATGCTGCTCCCCCTCCCTCTTTCTGCACCTTATTAATGTGTGTGAGCAGGTTGCTCTCTCCCAGCTTGTATAGAGTGACACCTATGGGTCTGGTTGGGACTCTGCACTCACTGGGTTAGGGGGGAAAAAAGGAGCTCATGAAGGGAAGGCAGCTAAGCGCCTGAATGGTGTATGAGTGTGTGTGTCTGTCTGGAGATGCTGGAGCCCATAAACTGTCCCCACTGACTGACTGGCAGAGCAGAGCGGAAATTTATATGCTCAGAACAGATGAGTTTAATCTCTGTGTTGGCAGCGGGGCTTATTCAGCTCGCATGATTAGATTAATGAAACAGTTTCATATCATTGTATTAGAACAGTTAATGAAGACAATTAATTAGAAGACAACCTTCAGGCTATTGTCCTTTACATCTTTCAGATTTGGGTTAGAAATGGCCCGCTGCCATAGCTTTGAGTGTTTCTCCTAATCTATTTTCAGAGTTAATCTATGGCCACAGTTTTAGCATCTCTTCCATTTGCATCCTATTCTTAGGCCACTCTTGACCTTTCATTAATTATAGCTGGCCTAGCTTTAATCATTCTGTAATACTGTTGTAGCTGAGACAAGAAATGGGCAAAACGATTTGCCACTTAAACGTAAGAGTGCTCCTGGATTCATGTGTCTGTATTTCTGTATAAATTATGCATTGAGTTCTGTGTCGCGTGTGCTCAAATTGTCATGCATGTAGATTATACTGCCTTATCGAGATGTTTGAAAAACACAAGGGAGTGGGGAAAAAAAACATCAGTGTGCACGTAAATGGTTTGTGCAGGATTTTGGGGGTGGGAACAAGGAAGTTAAATAGCTTTGGAATCTTGTCTGCCTATCACAGTGATATTTAGGTGTGTATTGATGTGTGAGTGGGGAATTAGTCTCACTACGTGTGCCACCTAGCTGAAAAATGACACCTTGCCCCATTTATTTTAAAGGTGAAAACATTTACCTGGGGATTATTTTGTAATCTGAGCACCTATGCAGCTGTGCAGTTTAATTCTCACACAGCTGTGGAGAGTTCTGCTGTCAGTGGTTAGATGGGATTTTGCAACTCTGCAGTTGAGCTTTTTGTTTAACATCTAAAACCTGTTTTACTCACCAGAAATAGGCTACTCTTTAAAAAAAWTTGTCATTAAAAAAATAAATAAATAAAAATAAAAACTATTTGAAATTAAATAAAGCAAAGAATTTGTGAGCATTTTTAAAAGCAGTTATAAAAATGTTTTTATTCTAATAGAAACCAGTTACCCCTTTGAAACATCTTTATTTAAAACTTGAGCCAGCAGACTGGTGTTAGCAGTAAAGTTTAACAACAAAATCCATTCTCTTATCACTCCGCTCAAACAGCTGTCTCCTACAACTTTCTTTAAAGCAGGAAGTGGAGTGCGCTGACACTGCCTGGCTAGAAATAGAGAGGTTTTAATTATTTTAAATATATTTTTAACAAAATGCTGTCATTATGAATGTATTTAAAGTGAAGGAGTCAAATCGAATAATGGCAATAATAATTTTAAAGCCATGGTTTACAGTTTGTTTCCAGAAGGGTGTTTGTTGTAAATGCATTTAAACTGGCACATTTTTTGCTTTTTATTCCACACACACACATCAGAAGATATGTAGTAACGATGCAGTAATTACCTCAGGTGTCTCTTTCGTTTATGAACATGACATAGTTTGAGAGTATGGTAGATACGGATGTGTTCAATGTTTTATGACTGAAGGAATAAACAGAGCGATGAGGGGATAATGTAACGTCATAAAAGCGGGTTTTGGCTCGGGGTAGTCATGTAGCAAGCTTAGATTGGATGTGTGATGACTGCAGGGCTGAATACTTGAACAGGATATTTCAGCAGCTGTTGTAGTTTTGTCAATATATCAATAGCTCATAGAGTAGAGACCAAAGCATGAAAGCATTTTCAAAAGAGCATTTAAGTACATTTGCTGAGAATTAGCTGACTTGTGTAATAACTGATAGAGTCTATCGACTGCGGCCTAGTTTACTGTTGTCAAATCAATGCAACTGCATGCAAGTCTCTCTACTTTTAAACAAACTTAACAGGCAAAGGGGATGTTCAGGGGGCACTGGAGGGAAATAAACATGATTGATGCACTTTTTATTATCTGTTTYTGCTATCTTTTCCTCTGTGTGTTACTTACAAATGGCGTTATTGGATATCTATTGTTTGGACTTCGATGCTCCTAAATGGCCTGATATATCGAGCTGAGGCTTTTAAGGTGGTTWCAGGGGATTTCTGCCTTTGACTTGGCATAAAAAATACAATGAATTGTGGGCCTGAAAGTTTTAAATATTTATGATTTTTTTTGATAGCACAATACCAGAAGTAAAATGGAGTTAGTGGGATTGGTGAGTAATCTAGCAGACTGCAGCAGGGGACACTGAAGTGTGTCGTTGTGTG